ATTAGAGAAATGGATCTGGTAACCGAGAAAAATAACTGATATTAAAGCATACCTGGATAAAAAAATCTAAGTAAGAATCAATCTAACTTAATAAAAGAGTTTCCTATTTCACTTAGGTTTATCCTCTTGGCTACACATTGGAGATATACGAAGTCGGCACTTTATATTAGCTTCGGAAGGTGTAGAATTTTCAGGTCTCAAGATGCAGTCTATTAGAGGTGATAGCACAGGTTATGTTCAATATATTTGGATGGCTGTTTAGCAATATATTTGCATAGGTGTAGCATTCGATTCAAGTTACGGTTGTCACATCCTTATTTGATGAACCTTTTATTTTATATTCACATTTTTAAGACTTGACATGTTGCAATAAAAAAGTTTTTTTTTAGAAAAGGAGGATGACCCCCGGCCTCTACATCTGGGCGATGCATACGGCCACTTTATTAATTATTCTCACAAGACTTTACAAAGTCATACAACAGTAAGACAAAAGCCGCCATTTAAGCAACAAAGTGTCGCTACACCTATCCAGTTGATGAACGGGCGCAGATAGCCTGAGCCTAGTACCAAACAGACATCACAGCCAAGCCTAACATCTAAGACCTGAGACCCCAACCTAGCCACTTGCCGGGTCTAGGGCACACACTGGTCCGGCGTGCTCTCAGAGGCCGCCGCCGCCAACTTCCACCGCTCCATCTTCAGAACTGTACTGATGCATCAACCTTACTCGGTCCAGCTATTGTCGACGCCACCACGGCGCCCAACGGCACCTCCTCCCTGCGCGCAAACAGCTGAACACGTCGCGGTCGCCACTAATACACCTCAGCGCCATGCTGCCAAGTACCACCAGCCGACACCGCTTGACGCCCTTGGAGGATATGTCGTGCGTAGCACCTGCCGACCAGGCATGACCAAGCGTAGCACCTGTCGGTCAGGCATGACTTGACATCTCCACCGAAGCTCCGTGCAAGATGAAGCCGCTCCACCTCCTGCCTCTGACTTCCAGCGCTGCTCCACAAAACGATGCTCCCAAGAGAAAAACGACACCGCAATGCCGCCATCGTCCGGTCTGGAACACCAGATCCTAGGGTTTCCCCCGGAGCAATA